TATTTAGTAGATTTAATTTAAGCTTTTTGTTTTCAGTAGAAATAATTCCTAAATTTTAGTGTGAAATCTGTTAATAGCTTATCATATTAGATAAATAAATAAATATGTATATATATATATATATATATATATATTGAATATTACTTTTGCTTATGTAATTGGTCATTACATAATTCAATGACGTGAAAAGTGATATTTAAGATAAATTTATGAAATTTTTTTTAATAATTTCAATATATACAAAACAATATATATTTTATAATTAGTTTTACACAAAATTATTGCTTATAAAAATATATCTAGATTAAAAGAATTTATTGATTATATATTCTTTAGTAGCAAGTTTCAGTATTAATTATTATTAATAATTTTTATTTTTAAATTTTATTGTTGAAATAATTTAATTTTAATTTTGAAGGTTTTATTTATAATGAAAAAAGCAGGGGAAATATTGGTACTTATAATAGTTTTATGATAAAATAGCATTCATTTTATTTACATATATTTTTATTAAATCAAATATTAAATAATACTACTACTACTAAAATATAAAACTTTCATAAATATAATATAAAAAATTAGTGATTAAATATATAAATTATTTTAATAATCATAATATTTTTAAATTACAATTATTTAAATTACTATATTAGAATTTATATTATTTAATAACGTATTCTTTTTTGACGTTTAAAAAGAATATTTACATCATAATTAAGTAGATCTACTATTTCGACGAGTTCGTTCTCTTTCATCAACGTCATAAACAGCATTTAGCTTTCTTACGAGACTCTTTGTCCTATCAGTAATGAAACTGTCAACTTGTCCAAGTACACTAACTAACTGTATCATCTTTTCGAATCCCCGATTTATTTTTTCTGATTTCTGAATTTCCAATTGCTCCTGATTTAGTGGTATTCCCAGAATTGATTTTGGTAGCGCGTTATCTTGAATCATGCGTGAAATTCGCTTGAGCAATTCACGATCTTCTTTTGTAAATTTTTCATCAGCATATGACGCATCTTTCTACATAATAAAATAAAAAAGAATTTAGTTATTAATATGTATATGAATTATTAATTCATTCATATTTCATTTTTTATCGTAAAATTTTGTTTATGAAGTTGTTTTTTATTACGTGTACATATTTTTACATTTCTACATAAAATAATAGTAATGGTAAGGTAAATATTAAAAATTTATCAATTACAATAAAAACAATAATTAAGTGTTATTTTAACATAAAAAAGGTGGAAACATTAAAAAAACTTATCTTAGAATTTATTACATTGTAAATATTTAACATTATATACTGATGTTTATCAAGTAACACAAATAATTATACTATAAATACATATTTTATTCAAGTTCATTTATTAATAAATGGAATGTAGTTAAATAATTATTAAATATATAAAAAACTTATTTTTAATAAAAATGATATAAAACTGTTTATTAGAGAAATAATTTAGTAGAAATAATTTAACATAAAATTAATTAAAGAATATTATTTACCTACAAATATTGCTTATTATCATTATATCAATAATAATATTGATAATTCTTATTATTTATAATTATTTTAATAAATCATAACTTTATGATTATAAATTTCATGTATGATAATAAAAAATAATGTATTACTTGTATATTTTTTAAACATAAAACTTAATATAATAGTAATCCAATAAAAAAAAAATATAGATATATATTTGTGATTACTTACTGATAATAAAACGATACCAACGCAAGTAACGCATATTAAGTTTATCATAATTATATTTCCAATTAAATTCTTTAATAAAATTAATGAAATCTTTTAAAAACGGTATGAAAAATCAATCATTAACGACGTTATTAAGTGTTTGGTAGTGCAAAAATGTCACTTTTACGTCCTTCTTATACAGGTAAAACATACAGTGGAATTCAGTACTCATCAAAATTCTCATGTGACAAAACAAATCATGCCCTACATTTGATAAGGATTGAATTAATTGCTGGTACAAGAAAGTCTTCTTTTATAACTAAATTTTTATTTTTCTAATGAAAATTAGTTTACAGAATCATAATATTTATCACTAAAATAGAATATTTTATTTTAGTTTAATTTTTTTTTAATCAAATTTTTTTTTAATCAAATTTATTTTTAATATATATTTATATTTATCGTTATTTATCAAGAACTTTTTTTTTAGTATATACTTACTAATTTTCATTTATTAATGAATGTATTTATTATTTATACAAGTATTTGCATGTTACGAAAATATTTTATTACAATACATATAAAATATATCTTTACAAAGAACATAAAAATTATTTAAAATTTGATTGACTATATTTATGACAAATTGTTTTCTAATATATTATATTTAATTATAAAGTATATAGTAAGCATGTTTTCAATACTTTTACACTTAATAAGGATATTTTTGTTTTTTTAAGCATCAAATTTTAATTAAAATAATCAATAAATTAAAACATATTAAAAATGGCATGTATCCTATAATGGTTTTTTTTCAGATGAAATAAATAATATTAAAAATCTTGTTAATTATTGGTAACTCAAGATAAAGTAATATTTATAGTACCAATAATCATAAAATATAAAGAAATAAATATTGAATAATATTATGCATAACCTACAGTATCAGTTCTACTCTAAAAAAAATTGTGGAATTTGATGATACTATAACATTTACTTAATTGATAAATTGTGTCAGCGTATAGCATCGTTTTGTAAAAGAATGAAGAAGCACTTTTTAAATTAAAGGCGATTATACTAACCTGTTATGGTGTATCAAGACATAATTTCTATTAAATTTAAAGAGTAAATTGGATTTTTTGTATCTCAAATTTTCTTATATCCGAACAATTTCTTTTCTAGACAATTCGTATGAAAATCAATCAATCGTCGGATGTGATTGCAGAGAAAATTACGTTCTTCTTGTTGCGCTTTTCTTGATTCGGATAGAAAATCCATTATGTTCCATCTTATGCTATTCTATAAAATTAATATCTCAATATAAAAACATATAAAAATTTTTATGTTTATAAATGCTATTACAAATTTCAATTTAAAATTTTATGATTCAATTATGAAAAAATATAGTAAATATAATAAATAAATAGGTTCACCAAAAGATTTTTTGTTATATTAATAGAACAACAATATAATGGGCTTATATAATCAATAAATAATATTGCTTTATCGTACTTAGTAATTACGTACTTTTCGTAGGCATTAGTAAAAATATATTATTATGAAGTTCCACAGTATATTTTATAATAATTCAATTTATTAAAATTTTTATATAAAATATATATTATAAGTTTTCAACAATTATGTAATTTAATAATTATAATAAAGAACAATATTCTATATTATGTTTGAAAAAGGAATTATGTGTAATTTTTTAAATACGTCCTTCCAAATTCTTTTCATTTAAATTAGAATATTTTATAATAGATTTTCTATAACATGTTACTAATAATACAATTAAGCATACCAAATTAATTAATAACTATAAAATGTATTTTTCTATATTTATGTAATAATTTATTATATATATTATATATTATATATTGTAATTAGATAGAAATATTATATAAATTTATATAATAACAGATTAATTACTAAAATAATTTATCATATTTGTTAACATATTGGAGACTTGTAATTGTTTATATTTAAAATTTTTTATTTAGAAAACATGTTTCTAATGTAGTTCTCTCTAAAATAAATTTGTGATAAAAATATAAAAAATTACAATGGATAAGAAGAATATCAATAATGTTATATTTATTATAAAAGGCAATATTTTTTTTTCAATTAAAGGGAATGAATAATTTAAATTTAAGATGCTATATAATATGTGGACCATTCTTATGAAATATAATTAATTAAAGATAAATTATTAATTTAAAGAAAAAATTACTGTTCAGAAAAAATGTATTTATAAAGATTATTTTTAGCGTATTATTTATATGATTTTAAAAGATTAATTTTGAATTTAAGATTATTTATTTAATAATTGTAACTTGACCATGTACAAACAATTAGAAAAATTAAAAAATAAATATTTAAAAAGATTATTTAAATAAATATAAAGATTTTAGAAAGATTTATTTAAATAAACATAAAGATTTCAAACGTATAATTTAAATATATATTCAAATATTTAAATATATTGTAACATTTACAATACCTGGTACCTGATTATAAGCCTATTTTAATTTTAGAATATATGTGTTTTTATCATATATTTTAATTCAAAATCAAATATGAATATTATGAAAATTGTTTTTTAAAAATGTTGTTTTGAAATTGTTAAATTAGTTTAAGTTTTGAATGATTTTTTTATTTAAAAATCTTTATATTAATTTTTCTTCATAGAACTTATTCAAATATATATTTTAGAAGTTAGGATGTACATTTAGTATTTATAACATATCAACTTATAGGTAATAATGAATAAATAACAATAAAACAATTGCAATAAAACATAATAATAAAAGATAAAACATATAATATTATGTGCTTGATATATTTTTATATTTAGTTTAAAAAATGGTTTGCCTGCTTGTTAAATTCGTTAAAAAAAATAGTTTCTTAATTAGTTATATTGACAAAATCTTAATTAGTTATTAATTCACATTGATATTAAACAATATTAAGAATTAATTTTTTTAATAAGCTTAACGCTTATTACATTTATTTTTAAAAAATTTAAACTTAATGTTGAATATGTTTATTTCCATGAACACTACAAAACTCGACGAAATATTAACATTTTACAATACACACTTTAAAGTATTGCAAAGTTAGTATTTTGATTACAATTAGTAATTAGACATATGATGTGAGAAGGTCTATCTACAATATAGTATTATATCTATAAATTATAAAGGCATATTAAAATAAATAAATGCATCTGCAGTTTGCTCGATACAATTATTAAGAAATTATGAAAAATTAAAGATAATATTAGATTGATTTAATAATATTTAATATTAATTTAATAATAATTATATGTTATGATTAAATAAATAAAATAATTATTTTTTAGTTCTATATATTTGTTGTGATAAAATATATGATTGGTTGAACATATTAATAATTCTATCGTATTTATTATCGAAGAAAGTTTCTAACAAACATTTGTTAAATAATTATTGAACAGACATAAATGTTTTGAAAGTTAGAAACTTTATATATTTGTAATGAATAAGGAGTTACTTTCAGACCTGTAATCCAATTGGTGGATGATATCTTAGAAAATCCATGTTCACAGTTGCTCGTGTCTCGATCCAAAAAATAACTAATATCAATATCGATACGGTTAAAATTTGTTGGAACTTATAATGACCACGCAAATATGATACAGAAATTTTAAAAGACTGCGGCATGAAGATTTCCCGGCACTCTTGTAGATTACTTTTTTAATGAGTAGTTTACTTTTTAAGTTTTCGTGTTGACGTATGCGGAAGGTATACAAGAAATGGAGTTTATCGCGGATGTTCTTTGTATATGACTATGTGAAAAAATCACGGAAGAAACGAAGTGCAGCTGAGAGAGATCACATATCCTCGGAAGTTTTCGAGTTGTATCGGATTTCGAGCACGAATTACACGTGTATTTCATTAAGCAGCCGTTGACGCGAACACAATGAATGGCATAACGAGGCAGCCTACGAGGCTGTACTTCTTCATTTTCTTGTTATTTTGTCAGTGGGTAGGCATTTTTCTATTTTATTTACTCACTTACACGGTTTATTATCCATATTTTTCTATCCATTCGTTAAAAATATCTGTTCTTCATAATTTTATACTGAAATACTTTTTAATAATGTCATGTAATTAATAATTTCTAGGTTTTTTATACATATTATTTAAAGGACATGTATATATTCTATATTGAAAGTTAGCAATAATTTATAAAATTTGATATAATTTTTTTTTTAATTTCAGTGTATGTTTTTATATTTTAATTTTTATTCATACTGAAACTTTACAAAAAATATTTGTAGAATATTGCAAAGCATACTTTTAATCTGTAATCTCAACTATGTAAATACAATTATATATATATATATATTTTATATTATTTTCTATATTTTCTATATTTTCTATTTTTTATATTTTATATATATATATATTTTCTATAATTTAATATATTTAAAATTTTGTATAGTATAAAATATAAATATTTAAATATACATATTATAAATTTTATATAGATGAGTTTATACAGTTATAGAAAAGATTATTTTAACTTATTATAACTAGTAATATATACTCTGTTTTATTAAACTTTGAAAATATATATTAGTAATAATAGGATTAATTTTTATAAGTTACTTCAATGAATCGATAAAAATATATTTTAAAAAAAGAAAATTTAATAAAAATTTTAGTTCTTAAGATTCATTCACAAATTTTTTAGACATTTTTCTTAATTCAGGTTATTTTGGAAATTATTATTTAATTTATTTTATATTCAAGTGTATACGTATGTTTCTATTTATATTTAATTTTTTATTTAAATTTAAATTATTTTAAGGTAATAAAATTAATAAAATTTTGATTTTACTTAATTGTAATCTGTAATAATGTAAATATGTGAAGAATTTAAATTATATAAATAGAATTTGTTTAGTACATTTTTTTATATTTTATTTAATTGCTTAGATATATAATAAGATCGATAAGATTATAATTAACCACTAAATAAAATTATTTTATATTTTTTTATGAAATTATTATCTACACATATAATTTATCTAAAAATATACGAAGATAAAGTAAAATATCGCTCAAAACGAAGATTAATTTTTTAAAAGTATTTTTAGGGTGATATTGTAATGATGAAAGACCAGAGATGGTATATAATAGAATAAATACCAGCATAGATATATTATGGATAAGCATTCATCTTTTGTTAAGACAAGATAATTTTATTGAATAATATTTATTTAATAAAAGATTTGTTATTCAAATGAATAAATAGAAATAAATTCATTGGCTTAATTAAAATTTTAATCATATATATTTCAATTTTAAAAACATATATACTTTTTATTTGATCGATAAATTAATATTAATACGTGTTATCAAAAGCAAAAACCGTCTTATGATGTGAAACTTAAAATAAATTTCAGAGTTTAAAATTGTTATCAAAATTATGTGTAAGTTATAAAAAATATAAACGTAAAAGAATTTACAGTGAAATGTATAGAATGTAGTAGTAGATAATAAGCAAATTTTAATTTATTTTTGCAGACGTCTGCACTACCTAAAAGAAGCTACTTTAATAAATCTACAAAAGAACGAGAAGAATATCCTTTCAGTTATTTAGTAACAAGGGCCTTGGGAGTAATTGTGCGGATCACATCATTTGTCTGTCGATGGATGTCATGCCTACCAAACATTTTGAACTTTCCAAAAGAAATATTACATTCGGTGTAGCTATTAAGTTTTATATTATATGTTAATTTAGAATATAACTTGTAGTTCTACAGATTCTACGTGATTTATATTACTATTATATTTAAAGCTTATTATTATAATATAAAATTAAATTAATAACTATTTTTATAATTGAAGCGTTTTAGCTATTTTACTTGCAAAGGGCGAAACCAATGTATTTAAGTATTAATGTGAAATAAAGAAGATTATAATTTATATATTAACACTAAAATTTTTTTCTTTGGAGAAATAAATAAGATTTACAAATAAAATCATAGAATTTTTCAAGTAAATATTGGTAGAATGATGTAAACTTAATCCTAAAGAAAACATGTTTAAAAACATTCACAATTTTTGTATGTACTGTTAGATATAATTATTTTTAAATATAAACGCTGCATTATATTTAATAATTAAATATATAAATACCTTTGGTGTATTGAATAAAATATAATTAAAATGAAAATTTTCAATATATAATTATTTTTTAACAAATTTTAATATAGTTTTCGAATTTAAAATATTATAAAAGTATTTTACAAGTAATTCCATTAATAAAATAATTTCTTATATTTTACAGTTATAATAATAAAATTTATATTTAATATCATTACGTTAATTAGAACCAATTGATCAATAACACAAATATAAATATCGAATTTTAGGATTGGATATATAGAAAATTAATTATAAATATAATAAAATAAAACATAATTTTTATTTTGTATATATTTTATTATACTTTTTATTTTATCTGATTTACATAATATAAACTAATTTGGGAGAATTTTTAATATTGTATTTTAAATATTAATAGGATGAACTGTAATTGATATAATACAAAAAATATGTAGAAAAATTTATTATAAAATATAAATATGAAATCTATGAATTTTTTTTTAAACGATTCACTGTACTCTTTTTATTAATTGAATATTGAAATTCTCGATAAAATAAATAATTCTAGTATGTTTTTCATAGGTTTTCTATTGGATTAACCAACAATTAAATAAAGATTTTATTCTAATCGTGAGAAATCATCGTGTAAAAAATCATCTAAAACTCGTTTCTATATTTCATTTTAAACTATATTTTGACTACATTATTGTTTTATTTAATTCTCAAAGCAGTTTTATTTATATTATCTGAAAGTATATAAATAATTATTAAAAAAATATAAATTTTGTTATATAGACAACTTTTATCAAAATTTGAAAGAAAGACAATAAAAGATACTAGCCTTTTTTAAAAAATAATTTTCTCACATATTTATTAGCTTGGATATTTTATGCATACGTTGCAAATTATGACATACAGTTATTATACAGTATCGATATTATTTCACAAATATATAGATTCTGATGAAATTGACATAGAATAAAGATTTACTTTGTATACAAGAGTGGTGGAAATAGGTGGACATTTTAAATAATGTTCAAAGATTTAATTCTTCTTATCTATGGCAATAGTTGCTTGATTTGCAGCGCTTTTAAGTTGATCATTTAAATTTTGTGTCGCTTCGACAGCAATGTCTACGGCTTTCTTTGTAAATCCAGCAATCTCTTCTTTAACATGACCTGAATTTTGTTTAAATGCCTCGGCAATTGTATTTGACTCCTTTACAAGAGTTTCAACTCCTTCTTGAAATTGTTTTTGAAGTTTCTCGGCAGATTCTTTTGCGTTTGGAACGTTCGCATTAATATCTTCGATAACCTTGCTTAATTTGTTTTTAACATCGGCCCAAAGTTTTTCAAGCTCCGGAGTCTTACTTTTGACCTAAACAAGGAAAGCGCTCTATGTATGATTAGTTCTTTAAAATGTTTTTATTATATTAAATTGTTATAAAATTATATATTATAATTCATACAAAAAATGATATGTTATAAAATTATTGAATAAGATTCTTATAAGAATAAGACCTAAATTATAAAAGTTATTCTTGAAGCATAAATAATAGTAATAATAATAATAATTTATGATTATTAATATTATTATTATTATATACTTATTGATTGTGCATTTTGATTATTACAGTTAATAATCCAAAATTATTGATAATGATGTTAAAAATAAATTTTTAATATTATCGAATACCGAAATTTGCTAATATTAACGATAATAAGAATGTAAAATTATTTCAGATAAATTAGAAAACAAAAATATATGTAATACATTCACATGCATTAAACATATCCTAACAATCATCTAAAATTGGACTAGGATAAATAAAATTCCAAGGTTACTTAATTGTATCATAATAAACAAAATAATAGTATTATAATAAATAAAGAAAATGCGTTTATAATGTTAAGAAGGCAAAAACTATCTATAAACTCACCTCTTCAGACACTGAAGTGATATACTGTTGAACATTATTAACGAATGTTGAACTCTGATTTTTCAGTGTGTTGACCACAGTATCCTGATCAGGAATGTTAAGCTGATTCTTAATATTGGCAGCCAGATTGTTAATGTTCTTTTGGGCATTGTTGATGAACTCGGAAAGTTGAAGAGGTTGCAAGGCTTCACTAGTATCCTTTGGTAACGCCGAAGTGTAAACTACCAAAGCCATGAAAATAATGTTTTTCATATTTATTGGCATTGTAATCAAGCTGTTTAGTCTGAAACTGGTGTGGCGCGATACTGTTAGAAATAAAATTCAAACTGACGTAGCTACGCTCCGGGAAGTCTCCATTTATACTAAACGCTTATCACGGCTATAAAGCAAAGTACCGTTTATCTTAAATATTTCATGCACATACACGGGTATAATAATGCAAAGCAATGGTTATGTTATGCATGGTAGAACCTCTACAAACATGATAGAACAAAAATGTTTCATTACCTTTTTTAGAAGTTTTAAGCTTTTAATTTTACTCCAAATATTGTTTTAAAAAATTATTAATTAATTCAGAACATAAATTTGTTTATTTAATGTAACTTAAACATACGACTTATAACTAATTATTTGTAAGCATTTAATTATAAAATAAACAATAAGCTTATATTACTTGTAAAATTATTCTATAAAAATAGTTATATTTTTATTAATATTGCTGATAAAATTGATAATATTATTTGAATTAAAAATTTGTTATTATTAAAAAATGTAAATTATGCATTATATTTTTATAATACGTATTAGAAATAAATTGATAATATTTATTTAATTAAAATAAATTAATATTCTGTAATTTCTTAATATGTATTATTTTTTTATAATATTAAGTAAAAGAAATTTTGTATGATTCGCTGATTTTTTAAAATATTTGTATAATTTGCTTAATTATAAAATTTGTATAAAGTGCTTAATTATAAAATAATTATATAAGAATAGAAAAAGTTTTTCTCTATTTCATAATTTATTTTAATAACCTAATTATATAACCAAATGTTCCTTATTTTAAAATCATAATATTCCATTGTATTTAAAATTATTGTGGTACTATTATATTTAAAATATATTCGGTATGTATTTAACCATTTAATACATTAATTCAGCTTTATTTTAACTTAGCAATATTTAGAGTACCTTCTTATTAAAGTTATAAATATATTCTTTTCATTAGTACAATTAAATGTATAATATTGTTCAATATATATATTATTCATTCTCTTTACTACCGATTCATAGTATTAATAGTAATATGGTGGCGCAAATATCACGTACGTGTACTATAATATGATTTCATTTATATATTTTTATTATTGATATTCTAATAAAATTATATTAGTAGCAATGTAAAAGAAATAAATGGTAAGGAGTTTATAGCAAATAGTGTAGATAAGTATCTTTGCATGATATATTTATATATATTTTTATATTTTCTATATCAACATAAATTATTTATACGTCCAGAATTTACTACAGTAAAATTGTTTATTAACAAATATTTTATTTGATTTTTAATATCTATAATAATAATTGCTTGTTTATAGTGAGAATCATAAAATTGAAAAATTTGTAGAGATGAGTATTTAAATGTTATACATATAGAGAAACAATACATCTAACGATTATTACTTTAAAAAGTATTAAATTTAATCGTGTATTTGTGTTAAGTTAAATTTTGTATATAAAATATTTATATTTTATTATAAATCGTTTTAAATTATGCATGTAACATTGAATTAAAATAATACTAATTATAGTATAAATATTTATTTTCTATTAAAACTATTCAACAATAAATAGATTAATGAGTAATTCATAAAATATAATAATTAATGTTTTAATGAAATTATATTTAATTTGAATGTATTCACAATCATAATATATCTAGAAAAATTGATACATAAACTATACTATAAAATTTTATATTATATTTTATAACAAGAAAATTAGATATGAATAGTCATTAACATATATAATAAAATAATAAAGCATTAACATTAGTGAATCATAAGCTGTGGAGCTTATAACAAAAAAGTTTAATTACATCAGACAGTAAAGTCAAGAGAAATTATTTTTCAGCAAAACAAATACACTAAATTAATGTAATCTGTAAATTAAATTTTATGAAATATTGTTGCTTTGTAATTATTCAGAATTTAAAAACTTTTTAGAAAGAAAATTTTGCTTTACATAAAGAATCTGGAAAATCATGAAAATAGTATATTTCGAATATTTAAAGACAATATTGCTTTAATATTACACACTATATGAATGTAATACTTTAAAAGTATTTATTTCGAAAAATATTTATTTATTTATTTTTTTTAAAGATTTTCTTTTTATAAAGAAATATATAAAGTTAATTAATTAGTCCTATCAATAATTATTTTACAAAAATATTTCATAAAATATGTTCTTTAAAAGGCTATCAAGTTATTAATATTTTTTCAATGAATTTTTTTCATTTATTGTTGAGATTAATCATTATTACAATTTTTTAATAAATACTTGAATAGATATAATTATTACTTTCAATTGAATTAACTTTCAACTCCTTATAAAATAAGTATTTTTTTTAATTATAAAGAAGTAGTACGGTATTAAGGTTGTATAAAACTATTCGTTGAAAATAAGACAATGCTAACATTCATCTCAACCATTCTATTTGTCAAAAATCAGATGTAAATTTAAATATTTAAAATTAAAATTTCGTTTAAATTCATTTAAACTTATAATATTAATTATTATAAAAAAATTCTATTTTTAGAAAGATATTCATATTACGGTTACTGAATTTTTATATTCTATGTTACTTGTTCCTTTAGCTTTTTCATAAAATGAAACCAATTACCAATTCGAAATCTATATATTCATATTATACAATATTTTATATACTTTTATATATGTTAATAATAAATATAATTGTAAATCTATTTATATTTTCTATTAATATTGGAAATTTGAAATATTATAAATATTTGAAATAGAAATGTGTAATTAGCTAGACAGAATAATTGTGAATGTATAATTAGTAGTTTTATCAATTGTATAAGAATTTGAAAAGATAGAAGACACTTTTCTTTAAAAATGAAATTTCGTTTAAGTCATCATAATCATAAAAAGGTCAATGAAGTCATCTTGTAGCAAAAATTATCAATTTCGTACGAAGTTTATCTTCGTTAGCTTTTTTTATACATACTACCGCTGAAAATATATCGAAATAATATTAAGAAATTAATATTATTCTAGTTTGTTATAATTAAGATTAATATTATATTATTTTATTTCCAGATATTAATAACATTGTTTGTTCAATTATACTATTTCACTTGTAGACAAAAATATTCAATATATATATATATATAATATTCTATAATTTAAATTTAATATAATTAAAAATATAAAAAAAATTAATGCAGTAGCTTAATTTATTTGAAATATTAAAATATTAAAATCAGTAAATAAATAAATAAATATATATATTTAATATTTCAAAATATTACACCCATCCTACTTAAAAAGGTAATTGTTTATTATAATTAAAAAATATATAATGTTTATTACATTAATATATTTATATTTTCTAAATATTCCATATATTTAGATAAACTATTATAAATAATATTTTCGATAATTATAAAAATATTTTTTACTATTAAAATATACATAAACATTATATTTTTAATAAAATACACACATAATTATTATAAAACAAATGATAACATACATTTTTATATTATATGTGTATATAACATTTAATATTGATATAATATATTAATAATATAATATATTACAGTTACAGTTATATTAACTTCTTTCATTTCAAGTTTATTTCAGTTTATTAAATATGTATTTTATTAAAATTATAATTTTCTAGTTAAAAAATATTTTTATATTTACATAAAATTTTATTTGTAATTATTTTGTAATAAATGAATGTAAAAATTTCAAAGATTTATGTAATGAGAAGATAATTTATTAAATACGATAAATTTATATGTGTTATACAACATAAATATATTTTTTATTATTTTTTTGAATATTAATTAATTTAATATTTAACAAATATAAAAAATTGATAGCCTATATTCGCATGCTATATTTAAAATAAAGTTTATGTACTCAGATGAATTTTTGTATTGATATTCTATAAATATTTGATTGAATAATATATTTCTTAATAATAAAATATATTTTCAAATTTATCATTTGAACTATTATTTACATATAGAAATAATGTTTACAATGCAACTAATATTATTTAATAAAATAAAATTATAATTTGTCAAATACAGAAAAAATATTATGTTTGTAGTAATAGTATTTAGTTGACATTTTGTTTTAGTTAGTTATTAATTAATATATTTTTTTAATGTCGAATTCGAATTATTTGTATTTATTTTTTAATTTTAATATGAATAAGAAAAAGTAAACATTATTTGCATTATCATAAGGTTTCGGGAAAATTTTATGTTTTATTTTTAAACGTTAGTAAAATCCATGTAAAAGCAAATTAAGTTTTTTTAGATAAGAGAAAATTTTTCCTGCTTAAGTCATATGCACGTTATGAGAATTCTTAAGCAATAAGAATTAAAATTTAAAAGCATGCCTCTTATCTATCTCTTACTTTAAATGCCATTGGCTACGATGAGATTTTAGTTTATGTTTTCATTAATACTATGATTTTTTCATCATATATGTTGTGTTTTTATTTTTTATTAATGATATTTATATTTTGAATTAAGATTATTTTGAATTAATATTTAACAACACTTTTTAAAAAAGAAATGAATTTTTTATTAAAATTGAAATTATAGTTTAGAAAATTTTTTTATTTTAAGAATATAAAAATACTTAAAAAAAATATATTTTTGAACCTAATAAAAAAAATTTTAATGATACATTTTATATTGAACTTGTTATTAAATTTTACATTAAATTTTATAAATAAAATACGTTGCATTTATTTATCAAATTCAAACACGTTTGTCATTAACATTGATAATTTTAGTGTACATAAAACAAATTAAATGTTTTCATGTTTGCTGCTCTTGTTTATGTTGTTTTTTCATTAGATTTGGGGATAATCTTTCCTGCCTCCTCACTTATTTTCTTGCCAACAGTATCTAAAAACTCTTGTCCTTTAACAAGTAGTTCATCAAATTTAGGTTTGGCATCATTAAAAGCCTTGCTGATACTATCGCTTGCTGATTTCAGTGCTTCCTCTATAGTATTTGGTGTAGAAGATACGAGTTCAGATGCAGCGTAGATCTTAAAAAAAGAATTTTAATTA